CCACTCAGTTCTCGTACTTTTTTCCAGACTGCACTCATAGAGGAAGCAGAGGTGATGGTGGAGACAATCTCGCCAGCAAGTGCGTTTAGCGTCACGGATGACACGGCGAGCGATCGCACGCTTCTGCTTAATATCAAGAAGTCTCTCTGTGGTTCTATTGTACCGGTACCTGCCCCATGCAGCGCGTTTCAAACGTACTGCATGAGCACAAGCAGGAGACCACCAAGGCACGCATTTCTGAGAATGCCTGCCCGAAGTTTGGGGAATAGAATGAGAAGCTGCGGTTAAAATGGAGGACGAGAAGAGGTGTAGAAGCTCATCGATGGAGGATGAAGAAGGAACCTCTCTAAAAACAGTTAGGTGTGAGTAAAGGTTCCAATTTGCCTGATCAAATTGCCAGCGTGGGATGCGAAGAGGTGGTGAATATGAAGGGGAAGTAAGAATGATTGGGAAATGATCGCTGTCATGTAAGTCCGGAAGAACAGACCAAGTGAAGTCTAATGCGGCGGAGGATGAGCAGACTGAGAGATCGATGCAAGAGAGAGTGCGAGTCCGAGGATCAAAATGGGTGTGAGTACCTGTATTTAAAACATGGAGGGGGTGGGTGGCAAGAAAAGCCTCTAACTGAATGCCACGGGAATCACAGTGAGACCCCCCCAGAGGAAATGGTGGGCATTAAAATCACCAAGTAACAGAATCGGTGGTGGTAATGACGAAACAAGAAAGGCAATATCCGGAATAGATAATGCCCGAGGAGAGAGATATAAAGAACAGAGCGTATACCACCTATGCAAGTGGATACGGGCTGCTGTGTAATGCAGCGAAGTATGAACAAATAGCTGATGGTACGGAATATCAGTGCGTAGAAGAAGGGCACTTTCATTAAAGGTCCCATCAGGAAAAGGATCTGAAGAATACAATAAATTATAGCTGAGAAGGGAGAGATAACAGCAGAGTGTAATTTTGGTTCCTGTAAGCAAACACCAACAGGGGAAAACTGGGAGAGTAACATCTAAAGCTCACCCCGATTACCCCTGAGGCCGTGTATATTCCACTGTAAATAGGCCATGACTGGCAATGATAAAGATACCTGAAATCCGCAGGTAAGGGTTCCTACGGACTAGAGGGGTTAGAAAAGTCCACATGCGGAGGCAGTGGAAAACGTTCAAGCAGCGAAGGAACGGTGCGCTGTGAAGAAAGGAGTTGCGCAGATGGAGTAGAGGAGAGAGAAGGAGCAGAGGGTGGATCAGTGTCCATTGATGGTTTGGTCTCTGCAATATATTCAGAGATTGCTTCAAGTGTTTCAGAATTCAGAGACGTCGTATGGGAGACAATATTGGAAATGGTAGGGGGAGGATGAGTAAAGATTGGAACTGTAATGGACTGTACCAAGGTAGGGGGGGGCGAAAGGGTGGAGGGAACTGGAGAAGCGTGGAAGGGGACAGAAGAGGCAGCAACCTGGGAGGTGGCAGAAGAGGAAGAAACTTGGGAGGGAACAGGGGAGGAAGGTACAGTACGAGGGGGAGGGTGAACCTCTACACTTGTAACAGAGCTAGTGAGAGGGGGAGAACCAGGTACAGAGACAGGGAAGGGAAAATGAGGAGGTGGAAGATGGGTAGGAGGTGTTAATGGACCTTTTTTTGACTTTTGAGAAGTAGAGGGACAATTGGGAGGAGGTGTCATACGAGATCTCGTCGCTACTGAGGCTTGTGAGAGAACACGAAGAAGCAAGATCAGACTGAGACTTTGAAGTAGGGACGTCTGAGCCGAGGACAGCAAAAGAATTATCTACAGGAGTGACTATGGGAGAGGTAACCACAGAGGTGGGTGCAGAAGATGGGATACCAGAAGTGGGTGGACGTTTTGAAACACGGGAATAAGAAACACGAGGTAGTCTCCCTTGGAGGCGGAGATGAGAAACTGCCATGGCATAAGGGAGACCTTCTGCCTCTTTGAGGTAATGGACTTCCCGCTCGTTTAAGTAGACTTGACAACGGCGAGAGTACGAAGGGCGAGCCTCATGACAATTAAGGCAAGAGGGAGGTCGATTGCAAGACGTATTAGAATGGTCATCGGCACCACAGACTGGGCATTCGGCGATAGATCTGCAATATTTTGCTGGATGGCCAAATCGCCAGCAATTTCTACACTGTTGCGGTGTAGGGATCACCTTTCGAACTTGTAACCGATGTCCTGCAACATAAACTGAGGATGGGAGTTCACGGCTGTCAAAAGTTAAATGAGCCACATTGTTAGGGTATCGTCTCCGCCCGCGGGCAGGAAGAACGTAAGTGTCTACCTTGAGGATTGGGAGATCTTGGAGTTCCAGCTGTTCAAGAATGTCAGTGCCACATGTCTGGAAATTTTGTTGAACTATGGTATGGGGCAGAATGACGGTACCACTACAAGAATTGAGGGAATGATGCTTTTCAATAGTTACAGGAACAGTATCGATATGGGAAAGACGAGAAAGCTCATAAGCCTGGGTAGCATTCTGTACGGTGACGATGCGTGTACCGCTCTAAAGAGCATGAAAAGAGATATCTTTAGCAACATGGCGTAGGAGTGCCTTGCCAATACTGTGGTCAGAAAGATAGGCAGTAGAGGAAGTCGGTCGTAAAGTGAAGAATTTAGTCCATTGTGCAGTCTGAAACTGAGCGTGGAAAGGTAGTGAAGGACGTGTCGATCTTTTCTGAGAAGAACGAGAAGGTGGAGAAGTATCATCAGCAGGTAATTGTCGTTGTCGTTTAGGCGTGGGACCAGAGTTGGTCCGACGTGGAACGGGCCGGCGATTCGAAAATTGCCGCACCGTAGAGGGAGAGGCCGGAAGCATAGTTATCATGTGGGAGTTCGACACGTGGATTGGGTAAAGTAATACTCACGTAGGCTGGTAGTACGTATAATTACAGACAAGGTGAGTAGCGCCCTTACAGCCGTAACCTAGTCTCTCTGCTCTCTCTCGTACAACTGACTGACTGGCCGCCCACAGTACCCATATGTGAGGGGGTCTTTGAATACTGCTAAGTCAGCACATGAGTTCAGACAGTGACTCAGGCAGAGACGGTTGGTCGTGAGTCAACTGGCACAGTGGTTACTGGTAACTGGTTACTACTACTGAGATAGTCAGAGGAGAGCGAAGGTCAGATAAATCGAAGGAGTCAGTCGAGGCCTCAGTACCTGAAGCGGGTGAGGAAACAGCACCGGCAAGAGGTACAGAGGCATGAGGAGTGTCTGAAGAGTGGTCCAAAGACGAGGCGGGGTCAGAACGGGGTGCGGTATCAAGAAGGGGCCCGGGGGTAGCAGGTTCATGGACTAGGGCTGCCATGGTTAGGTTACTTCTTTCTTTTTGTTTTTAAGGAAAAAAAAAAGAAAGAAGAAAAGAAAATAAAAATAAAAAGAATAAAAAAAGGGGGGACCGGGGAGGGATAGTTCCCAGGAGGAATGAAAGGGCCAGAAATCTCCCTCCGCGCCCAAGAGGACCTCAGCACCGCAAGTAGCGCAGATGCAGCATGGAACCCGTGCCATACCCTACCCATCATGCCAGTAAACCGGCAATCCGGGATAGCAACCTCACATCTGCCGAGCTACCTCGGTGGACAAAAGAGAGGGCGGCCGGAAATCCGCCACAAAGCATACCTCCTTCGGCCACCACCCCCGGAATCCGAAAGGTGGCTTCCAGAGATACACCCGTCGCCCGAGAGACACCCAAAGCCACCCTCCGGGATACCGGAGAGGGATCAGGACATCCCCAGGCAATCCAGATTCCACGGCAAACTACGCCACCGCCAGGAACCTCAATGGAATGGGATGGACCCCGGTACCCTTTCCCCTACCTAGGAACTAGCGTGCCTGTGGGGAAAAAAAAAAAAAAAAAAAAAAAAGGCCAAAAGGGAGGGGTGGGGAGGAGGAGGAAAGGAAAAAGGGGAGGATGGGATAGGGAGCGGGGGATTGGGGGGTAATTAGGTTCGGTCTGAGGAAGTAGACCGACAGGTCTAATTCCTCAGACCAAGAGCCTCTTCACCACGCCAAGGAGCCCCCCTTGAAGAGGTATTGTGAAGTAGATTAGTCCATTTCAGACCCCCAAACATACACGTACAAATGCACTTATATAAATACACTTACATAATTGGTCACATTAGGAGGTGATCATAAGTCGGGGGTCCACTGTAATCCTATCTCCCTACCCACCATGGAGCATAGAAAGGAAAGGTTCTTGGCCCTCAGGGGTAATGAAGAAATAAAATAGTGGTACCTAGAGTTTTAACAGCTCTCAACTTGAACAATTATGCAAGTGTATTTTTATAAGTGCTTTTGTAAGTGTATTTTTGGGGGTCTGAAACGGACTAATCTAATTTACATTATTCCTTACGAGAACAAATTCGCTCGGTATCGGCACTCGAACAGCCTTCTGGACTGAATTAAGTTCTAAACTCGAGGTACCACTATACATACAAATAACTATGAAGAAATCTTTCAGCAGTTTTGGAACCGAAGTGTACAATGTAATGCCAGCTTGATCTTAGTCAATAAAGACTGATTCAGTGGGATTGCCACAAACTTCCATTTTAACTTTTCCTCTCAACAAAGAGGCATGGTGCACATTCAGGCTGCAGTTCCAATGATAAGAGCAACTTATAAGTGAGGGGGAAATGGGAAATTTGAGTTAATACATATCATAAATCTCCATAGGTAAGTGGGAAAAGAATCCTTCCTCCACAAGCCATGCATGTCGTAGGCGGTGACTAAATTACGACGTGTAACATGAAAAACTTTCATTTCCTTTATAGGTCACCCTGCCTCGGTGGGAGACAGCAGAAAAATAAAATATATCACAAGTGCATAAGAGTTCTTAGTCAAGCCTTCTCAGGCATAAACTTCCTGATATGAGTAACACTAGCTACCACAGCCTATGGCATTATTATACCATGAAATCTCCCACTACAAAAATGTGGCTGTCAACAGGGAAAGGAGGGTAACCATAATTTAAATAAAATATAAAAAACAATATGCATGATTTATTGTCTATATTAAAAATTATCACTAGCCAGTATTTCAAGTTAATTTTCTGTACTGGTGAAAAACATTAATGAAGAATCATCGAATAAGCCAAACCACGGTTGAAAGGTGTAAAGTAAATTTTCCATTTACATATTTATATCACATAAAACAAAAAGACACAAATACAGTAATGTATTCTTATTTAAAACCAATGTATTAATAGCTGAACACAATGTCATGTACTCATGATGTAATGTATAATTACAATTTTTTTTTTTTAGTGCACCTTTCATACATGGACTTTACATACCTTATTGGTAAAATAATAATATATAAAGGTAATATACTGTAAAAGAGTAAAATATAACACTTACTGGCAAGCAGAAGAAGAGAAAGTAGTTTTACGAATTTTCACATTCATAAGAAAGAGATGCACGTGTCACAGCAACAATACACAACCGTTGACAAGAAGACATACAGAGGGAGAGTAGCAATGACTTTCACAACTGAAGATATTGGTCCCTAATAATACAAACTCTACAAGATTATCAAACAAAGCAAATTTATTAATTAATGCATTGAACATCTAATTAACTAATAAGAAGCATTAATATATATCAAGATTATAAACACTACTTCAAAAGATGTTTGATTTTCACACTAACTGGTTCCTAAATTACCTATTTGCAAGTGCTGCTGTGTGTAACTGAGGTCACTTATAAGTTGGTGACCTGCTATACTCCAGTCACTAGAATCCCTTTACTTTTACAACATCCTGCTTGAATGATGCAATTATACCACTTGCTTTAGTAATGCTGAACAAGACTTCTATTTCAAAGAACTATTAACCCTTTGACTGTCGTGGCCGTATATATATGTCTTACGAGGTACCGTGTTTGACGTATATATACTCATAAATTCTAGCGGCTTCAAATCAAGGAGAAAGCTGGTAGGCCCACATGTGAGAGAATGGGTCTGTGTGGTCAGCGTGCACCATATAAAAAAATCCTGGAGCACGCAGTGCATAATGAGAAAAAAAAAAAAAGACAGTTTTTTTTTAATTAAAATGCCGACATTGTGGTCTATTTTTGTATAGTATTTATGGTTGTATTCTCATTTTCTTGGTCTCATTTGATAGAATGGAAAACATATTATAGAAATAGAGGTGATTTTGATTGAATTTACTATAAGAACCTGGAAATGGAGCTCAAAGTAGGGGAAATGTTTGATTTTTGCCGATGTTCAAAAGTAAGCAAATGATGTCATTGTCCAATAAATGTCCAAGTAGCCATTCTAATATGCAGTCATGAATGGGTTGATGTTATTTATACAATTATTACAGTATTGCAGTAGTCTGCATAATAGTTAATCTTCTATTTTTTGTTTGAATAAAAATTCAAAATAGAAAGCAAGAGTAATATCAGAGGGGCCTGGAGACATGACTGATGAACAAAGAAAATGTTATTTTACAGCCAGGAATGTCTGCATTGCTCATTCTGGACCTTATTTTGAAATTGTCATTTTTTAATTTTCGTGAAATTGGCCAAATTGCAAATTTCTGACCACATTATTGGGTAGTTGAAATTGGTAAATGGGCAGTTTCTTGTACTCAATCGATAGAAAAAATGGAGTTCTAAAGAAATAGCTATGCGTTTGGTCGACTGGAACACTGGAATTAGCCTAAAATAGGGCTCAAAGTGGGCGAAATCGCCGAGGTCGCTAACTTTGCGAGAGCGTAATTCCATCAGTTTTCCATCAAATTTCGTTTTTTTGGTGTCATTACAATGGGGAAAAGATTCTCTATCATTTCAGAAGAAAAAATAATTTTTTTTTTTTAAATTTTGCGCCAGGAGACACCTCAGGATTGGGGGGTTGCGACAGTCAAGGGGTTAACAAATGAAAAGAGCAGCAGCAACCAAATTTATTACCAAAATTAATACTATATTTCAGGCCAAAAACAAGTCTCATAACACTGTTGAGTACACAGAACATATTTATATATACAGTACATACACATATATATATATAATATATAACATGTGATAAGTACTGTATAATTCAACCACAGTCATATAGAGGCAGAGTTAGACTTCACTCTTTTGAGACCTCATCTTGAGGCCCTAAGCTGTAATTACCTTACGTATAAGTGCAGTCCAGAACTCAGACCCTTTTCATCAAACTAAGAAATGTGCAAGACCTGTAAAAGTAATCCCTACACAAAACTTTTCATTATCTCGATAAAAAAAAAAAAAGGTAATTTTGTAACCAGTGGTGTTAAATGTGTTACAGATAATTTCAGCATCTCTGGGGTAAAAGTATTTGCAGGGAATACTTATTTAAGTAATGAATGTAAAAGTGTAGCGTTCATAGTGATCATAAAGTAGTAAATGGCATATCAAAGTATATTTGGTATCTCTTACTTCCTTTATAATAAACCACAATCATTAGACTACTGTATTCATTATAAATTTGTGCACATAAATGTAAGGCTTATGGTATAATTAGACGTAGTTTGTGCAGAAATTGTAGCATCATTTGTTCATATCTCTAATATTTTTGTCTCAACAGCTCAAGAATGATTGGATTTAGTCCATATATGACAGTATATATCCTTTATCCCACTTACCAACATTTTTGCTCCACTTTGCTCGGTTATCTCTACAATTTTTGTAAATTGTAAGTAAATTTTCAATAACTAAACAAGAGTAAGATACAATATTGACTAATGGAAGAAATCAGGTAACATGATGCTACAACTTTTTATTAAATTCCTTACAATATCAGTCACCTGGTGAACAGGTGAATAATTATCAACATGAGTAGACACAATGGCATACTGCATGGCAGTTTGATATCAATAAGGGATGCAGGTTAATTTTTAGTGGACTGTGTGATTCATGAACAAATTTTAGCTCAACTTACCAAGAGCTTCAACAGAAAAAAATCCAGCACTCATCTTCATTTAAAATAACAGTTGTGCAGAGTGAATATTCAGAATGAACAAGAATGAAATAGTGGAATTTAGCTGTAGTTATGGTCTGCAGTTAGACCTACTACACATAATGGAACCATAGCTATTACAACTCTTATTGAAACACACAGTAAACAACTAAATGCACAGTAGACTGTTATATTATACAGTAGTTATGTTCCTGAAAATGCCATTAGGTAAATCTGTGTTAGATAAACTGAAGAATTTATGGTTAAAATAGGGTTAAGTTCCTGGGAACCCCAATAAAGCCAAACAACTTTTTTTTAGACCTCCAGATCTTACAAAAATAAAAGTGAATATGTAATTATTGTTCATTGTTGTGATGTATTATGTTGTTTTATTACTTAAGACTACAAATGCAACAAAAATAATAGTATTTCTTACCTTAAATTGTGGGTGCTGGTGTTTGTTGATGACTGAAGAGAGTGGAGAGTTAAGCTGTGGCCCTACTGGGCTGAAGTGAATGGTAGAGGTTCTGGTACTGAAGTCGACAGCTGTACTGGAGTGTACATAAATTCTGTAATGGATTCAGAAGCTAATTTTCAACTGCTGAATAGTACACACCTCACGGTAAGACATAAGCTGGTCAAGTCAAGTCAAAAGTCAAGTCAAAAGTCAAGTCAAAAGTCAAGTCAAAAGTCAAGTCAAAAGTCAAGTCAAGTCAGATGACAGCCTGGGTTATTCATTGCACAAACTTGTATATTTACCTCATTCTTTATAATTGTACAAACTGATGCTTCATTAAGGCCATAGGCTCTCTTATTTAATATCTATTTTCTTTGTAACTCCAAGACTTAACACAAACCTTTCTTGCCACTTTCAGCAATACTCGTATGCTTACTGGCTGCCATGATTGCTTGGCAGATACAATTCACAAACATAGCTAGCTCCTAGAAGAGAATCATACTAGACACGTATGCGTATGCACGAAGGCTGGGATGGGGGTGTCGGGGGTAGCATGTCTCCCCCACTGACAATGGTTTGACCCACAGCCAGGCAGCAGCCTGAGCTGGGGAAATTTTTCTCCGCCCACAAACGGAACCGTGTTAAGTTAATTTTACGAAGTGTTGTATAAAATTATGCCGCAATTTTTCAATAGTGTAATAACCAAAACGTGGCAAATAAATCCATGTAATACAATTGTCTACTGCATTATAATACAATTTGTATAATTATAAAGAATGAGGTAAATATACAAGTTTGTGCAATGAATATACCCAGGCTGTCATTGTTTTATTTTAGAACTTTTTTTTTCCTAAGAGTAGTGCCCTAACATACTCTAATCCAGTCATCTGGCATTAAAAGATTTTAGAAAAGGCACAAGCTGAGAAATTCAAATTTTGGTGCATTCATAAGAGTCATCACTTGCTAATACTATTCTGAGAAATAAGCATTAGTAAAAAATGAAAAGGGGCAAAAAACCTGTTACAATGAAGAAAAAAAAAGCAATCACTAATATGCCAAAGTGGAGGCCAGAGAACCATTAAGGAAGGAAGAAGCTCACCCATCAGTTTTTCCTTACTGCAGTACAGACTTCCCTCATTATTAGTAATTTCACATGTGCAACATACATTAGCAATATGTAATCACAGCAGAATTAAGTGTTGATAACCTGAGTGAGTTTAGTACAACTGCTATTGCATAAAGTGAGGGGACACCAGCACTTTATTTCCATGGGTGACCGAGGTCAATTTATTACTTTTTAAATGTAGAGTATCACAGTGGCATAATTTGTACTCAAGTATTTTAAATACTTTTAAGTGCAATGAGATTACTTCCCCATAAAAGTAGGCCTTAGACAGAGATGTGTGATGTCACCATGATTGTTTAACATATTTATAGATGGGGTAGTGTTAGGGAAAGGGGCGAGATTAAATTATGGGGAATCAAATACAAAATGAGAGCTGACACAGTTACCTATTGCTGATGATACTGTGCTCTTGGGAGATTCTAAAGGAAAGTTGCAAAGATTAGTGGACGAGTTTGGGAGGGAGTGTAAAGGAAGAAAGTTGAAAGTGAACATAGATAAGAGTAAGGTGATGAGGGTATCAAACAATTTAGATAAAGAAAAATTAGATATCACACTGGAGGGAGGGAGTATGGAAAATATGATATGAATGTGTTCAGATATTTGGGGGTTGACTTGTCAGTAGATGGGTTTATGAAGGATGGGGCTAACCATAGAATTGATGAAGAAAAAAAGGGAAGTGGTGCTTTGAGGTATCTGTGGAGAAAAATCATTATCCATGGAGGCAAAGAAGGGAATGTATGAGAGTATAATGGTACCAACACTCATTTGGATGTGAAGCTTGGGTTGTAAATGCTGCAACAAGGAGGCTAGATACAGTGGAGATGTCATGTCTAAAGGCAATGTGTGGTGTAAATAGGCAGAGACTTCATAGTGTGGAAATTAGGAGGAATGGAGTTACTAAAAGGACTAGTTAGACATCTGAAGAGGGGTTGTTGAGGTGGTTTGGTCATTTAGAGAGAATGGATCAAAGTAGAATGACTTGGAGAGCATATAAATCTATAGGGGAAGGAAGGCAGGGTAGGGGTCATCCTCAATAAGCTGGAGGGAGGGGGTAAAAGAGGTTTTTTGGGCAAAGGTCTTGGACTTCCAGCAAGCGTGCGTAAGAGTGTTAGATAGGAGTGAATGGAGACGAATGGTTTTTGGGACCTGACGAGCTGTTGGTGTGTGAGCAGGGTAATATTTAGTGAAGGGATTCATGGTTGCTCTTTAATTAATGTAACAATTTCTATAAAAATATTACAATTGCTCTTGAAGATATCAAAAAACATACAAAGACTAGCTGCTCTTAATTGTATAGTGTAAAAATACAAATGTAATAGATTCTTCTAAATGTAATAACTCGTGTATGTACTGTATAAAGTCTATAGCTGCTCCTAAATATATCTAGTAACATACAAAGGCCATACTTATGTCTAAAGATATAAAACATACAAAAACCTTAGTTATTTGTAAATGTGTCAAAACACAAACAAGTCTTAGTAACTTCAGTACCATATACATCACTCATATAAACAACTTACTGTACCTACTCAATATAAAAAAGCTTTTAAGCTCTTTCAAGCTTTATTTAAATGCATTTCTAAAAGATACAGTAATCCTCATTTTGCAGTAATTCACTTAGTGCTATTTTACTTAATGACTAACATTACATTAGGGAACAGTCTCTCTTAGCAAGAACCAGTCCCCTTCCTAACTATTCCTTACAATGGCTCCTCATTATTAATTTCCAAGGACACAAGAAAAATCCACATAGTTTGTAGATAAACAAAAGTATCCATATACATGTATCATGACCGATTTTTACTTAAAAGAAATGAACCCATCACACAAATCAAATAATATAATGTACATTTTTTTAATACTCCAATTATCTCCCATCGAGGTAGGGGTCACCCAACAAAGAAGAAAACACTTTCGATGTTCCTCATTCAATCACTGTCTTCTAGAAGGGCAACATTACATTTCAGATGACCCACCAAACCGTAACATCCCCACCCTTCCTTCAGGCATTGTACTTCCTACTTCCAGGACTCAAGTCTAACTAATTGGCTTTTCTGTATCCATTCATTAATGTTTTCTTGTTCACACTCCAATAGCACATCAAATCATAAAAGCCACTTGTTCCTATCAAGCACACACACACACACAATCCTGTTGGATGTCCAAGCCCCTAGCAATTAAACCTCCTTTGCTCCCTCACCTCCAACCCTCCTGGGGATAACCCCTACCACTCCTTCCCTCCACCCCAGATTTATACACCCTCCTAGTCATCCTATTTTTCTCCATCCTTTCTAAATGTTCACCTCTATAACCCCTCTTCTGCTATATGAATAATACTTTTGGTAACTCCAATCTTCTCATAATCTACAAAAAAATAGCATTTTAAAAGAAAAAAATCCTCTTTACAAATATTTCTTGACCAATTTTTACTTAAAAAAATATTAGCCAACTAAATAGGCATCAAAAACTCGTACACAAAAAAAATTATGGAACCAATTTAAAGCAATTGAAAAAACAATAAGTTAATTCTCTTTCTCTCTTTTATGAGCTGTAGTGCCCCCCTATCAAGGCAAGAATTGAATGTAAATTCTGTTTTTTTAACTTTCAAAGCTATTAAGCTTAATGAACTTCAGTTCCTTCGTTGTTGAGTCACCCTGCCTCAGTGGGAGATGGCGGTTGTATTAAACAGTAATATAAATAAAATATAAATAATAAAAATAAAAAAATAATACCTCTCGCCCTTAACCCACATAATCTACAGCAACACTCGGCTCCACCACATATCTCGGGACATCAACCTATGAAGGCTGTCATCCCTGGTATGTGTTCTGTTCACTATACTATACTGTACTGTTGAAGTCATAATGCCCCAAAGGGAATAGCTCAATATTAACTGACAATTTGGAGATGGAGCTTGATAATGGTCCTAGATGGACTAAAATGTCATTTACAGTTTCCCCTCAAACTGTACAGTATTGTGCCTTTATTCTTTGTATTTTGTGGGGTGACAAACTCTAATAACAGGACCATGTTCTTATGTTTTCAATTTGCTAATGCCAAAGATAAGAGCCAAGAGGAAAATTATACAGGAAACTTTAACCAGGAATGTATCCAATAATAAAATGAAAGTGTTAAAATGAGATTTGCTTGGAGTAAATTTTGCTTAATCTCGTTTCTCGGGAATGCATCTTTGTAACAAGATTACTGCATATTATAAATATAAAATATATTGCACTTCAAGCCTTGACACAACTAAATCTAAAAAACAAAAAGAACATAATGCAGTAAATGCAGAAAATCTGGGCTGTGCTAAAGAAAAAATTACACTGAAATTATTGTATTAGCAAATATAAAATATTTTGTGCATACGGTGGCATGCAGTCAAAATATTTATAATATTTCATTCAACCCTTGTATTCTACATAAAATAAAAATTGTACAGTCTGCAATGTAATGCTGCTTCATAGACCACATTTAGAAAGCAACTGAAAAAAAAAAGAATTTTTAAACAAAAAAAAAAAAAAAAAATTTAAACAAAAATATACGAGTTTCAAAAACTCATTACCTTGTCTTGTATAAACCAGTGGTTTTAACAACTGGACTCTAGTATCATAACATATGATACTCATACAAAAATGAATATTTAGAGTAATACACCAATATACTACATACAGTACGTACTGTAATATAAAAAATATTACATTATTAATACTGTACAGGTCCCAATAATAAATATAAAGACTTTATTGCCTCATTAAAAAATCAAAATATAACAAACATTATGACCCGACTGTTCAATATATTAACAGCTTCACACTGTACTTGTTAAGTGATTTAAGACATAATTAAGTGCTGATACATTTAAACAAAAAATATTCAGTGTATTGAGTCTTCAAAATCTGTGATATAAAACATACTGTATAAGTACCCAAATAACCAAGTCATTAAATGCATTTTATTGGCAATTTTACAAGAATTACAACAACAGCAATGAAATCCTTAAAATGATATTTCACATATCATACATTCCATCAACAAGAAAATTCACATGTGCATAATGCCTTCTCATCCAAATATCCTTGAACTTCCGATACCCAAGAACCACCGTCACTGCTAGAGCTATACAGAGGAGTAACCCTAATATCACTGCTCCAAAATTAATATAGTCACTTTCAGAATCTGTAGTGGCAGCATCAAGCTCATCAGTTGCAACTGTTGGCTTGGCGTGGATTTCACCGAGCAATGGGTTACTGGTGGCAACAACAGAGGTAGTGCTACTATTCTTAGATATATCAGTCCAGCTTTTATTCTGCTCACTCACTTCTTTGTTATCTACATTATCTTTGTATTTTCCATTACTTTTTTCAGTGCTCTTTGATACAGATTGAGCAGCCACTGGACTTTGGTAATAAGTATCTTTAGATGATTTATCAGTGCCAACCTCTACACCTGTCAAAACAGCTTTTTCTTCCTGTGGGTCAGCCCCTTTTCTTGGATAAACAGATTGAGTGGATTGATCTGCATCATCATTAGGCATACTTATATTAAGCATACTTACTCCTTTCTTACCTACAACTGAAGGTTTTGGGTAAACTGCTTGTTTTCTTGGAACAATAGGTTTCTTGGTACTGTATCTTGAGTTGTCTTCCTCATTTCCCTCTGAAATCATATTGTCATCAGTGCCTGCTGTACTAAACAAGATTAGCTTACAAATTAAAAATCGGCTGCCGAACTTAAAACATCAGGATTTTTATTAGAAATCTATCTGTACTGTAACGTCAATATTTCTAAAATACTTAAAAGCTAAGTAATATATAAAAAAATAGAGTACACTTCAGTTCCACTTAATATTAAAATGTTGGTATATCTACAAGTTATAAGCAGTAATTATGATAAATTAGACATGTGCAACTCTTGGGTATCTTTATTGAGGAAACGTTTCGCCACACAGTGGCTTCATCAGTCCATACAAAGGAGAATCTTGAACAGGAGGAGAATGAGGTAATCAGTCCCTCAACCTTGAGTCGATGTGGTCAGTCCATCAATCTTGAATAGAATACGGACTGATGAAGCCACTGTGTGGCGAAACATTTCCTCAATAAAGATACCCAAGAGTTGCAAGTGTCTAATTTATCAACATGTCGGTTCCCTTATCTAAACCATTCATCACAAGACCTGTCAGACTAATTCTTGGATCATAATACTTGGGAATTCTCCCTTGCCTAATTTGGCACGACCTACTTCCACATTGAAGCAAATGTACACTATATGAGCTGCACCTACTCACGGTTTATAAGCTTCCTTTGGACAACTATGTCGTACTATTCAAATTGTGGACTGAAAAAATCACTCAACGGTCATGGGACTGAATTACCTCTTTCCTCCTTTTGCACGATTCTCCTTTGTATGGAACTGAATTGAAGCCACTGAGTGGCGAAACGTTCCTCAAAGAGTACCCTAAGAGTTGCCACATGTGTCTAATTTATTAAATGTCGGTTCCTGACCATTCATCACAAGCAGTAATTATGTACTATTGGCACAATCCGTACTACAAAAGTAACGTTTTGACTGATATTAACCCTTCAGGGTCCGTCGTCTATAATACGCTTAGTTGCCAAACGTAGATGCTCGGTTTTACGTTAGGGTTCCAAACCTATTCTACGACATGAGTCACACAATAAACTGTGAGTGTACATTTGGGCCTAATAAGAAATACATCTATGTTAGTGACCAAACATACCAAACAGATTCCTGCAGATATGCAGTGATATAATGAAGAAAAAAATGAAATCAATTATTTCGATTAAAACAATTGCAGTGTTTTTCGTATGTTTTTTAGGTTGTATTTGCGATTTCTTGGTCTCATTTGATAGAATGAAGAATATTAAAGAACTAAATGATTTTGATTGGTTTTAGCATGGAAATGGCTTGAAATGAGTCAAAGTACAGAAATTTAAATTTTGCCATATTCAAGAGTAAACAAAGACCTTACAAGAATGTCTAATTTAACTTCTGTAGGTAAATACATTACAATGATGTAATATTAAACAATTTTACAGTATTGTATCAGTAATCTTTCATTTTTGGGCGAAAAAAATTCATTATGTAATCAAAAACAATGAATTTATTTATAATGGCCTAAACGAGTAATAGCAGAGGAAATGTTAGTTTAGTCAGGAATGGCTACATTGTTCATTTGAACCTATTTTGAAATTGAATATTTGAACTTGTGTCAATTGGCAAGATTAAAAATTTCGATCTCTAATTTTGTAGTGAAAACAGTTGACTTGAAGTCTTCTTGTGCTCAATCGATAAAAATAGAAATTATACTATGAAATAGCTAGAATTTTGTGTCATTGGAATAATGTAATTGGCCAAAAATGGAAGTCAAAGTCGGCTAAATCATGTAAATCCTACACATCAAAATTCGCGAGAGCATAATTTCTCATTTTCCACCAAATTTCGTACTTTTTGTTTATTACCTTCACAAAAGATCAACATTTCATAATGAAAAATAACGATTTTTTATTTTAATATTTTAACTCGGTGTGACTCAGATTTGGGCCTTGTGACCCTGAAAGTTAAAGAATAAGACTGCCGAAATATTTCATATAATGATTAGAGAGCAGCCAACAAATTTTAGAATAATAATCATGAATAAAGTACAGTAAACAGCCGATCTAATGGATTAATTGGAAGAGGGTCTGCTAAATGTAAAGTTAAAATAGAGCAGGAAATATTTAACATCATAAAAACCAATACATGCGACAATAGCATATATTTGTAAAAACACTGAAAATAAAGGTTAAAAATGGTAGGAGATGGCGTGTGTTACAAAAGGAAGTATTTTATTTCCAACTTCTCATGAAGAAAGAGTTTCTGCAATAGTAACAACAAACAATTCTGTACCCAGCAATTTTGGCCTGTTTTCCAAATCAATTTCCGAACATTTGTCCATTATTATGAAAATTTTGTAAATACATCGGCCATCAGTGGGGTAAGTAGGGCTGGGGTTGTGTGTCAGTACAGGGGGAAACAGTGTGTTTGAAGGTTAGTTTACTGGAGATTGTTTGTTGCGGCAGACAGCTTCCAATTCTCGAAAAATTTTCATTGTAATGAAATGTCAGCAGGCCAAAGTGAAAGTCCTTTGTGTCCAAGTTCGAAAAAAATTAAAAAATATTTTATCTTCTAAAATGGTAGAAATTTTTTTTCTACAGGTCGTAACATCAAAAACTTTAAATCTGATGTAAAGTACACTATTAATCAAGATGCACTACACTAGTACATATTTTTTGCTATACAGTCTCTCCTCACTTAACAACAGTTCCGTTCCTAAGACCATGTCAGTAAACAAATTGGTCACTAATCAAGGAGCATATACGTATAATGGTAGTGGGTTTGTGTCAACCATCTTTGGTATTGTTTTAATGTCACCTTTGTACCATTTCTAACATTTTTAGTATATTTTTCAATGTTTATGCAGTAGTGTACTGTATATTGTAATAAAAAGAATAGAGGAAATCAGCTCTAATATTTAGATGTGCATACTGATCACAGCCCCTGTCGTAAGTCCGAGTCGTCGGTAAACAAGTACGTCGCAAAGCGAGGAGAGGCTGTACAACTAATGGAAAATTTAAACAATTCTTTGAAAACCAAGAAAAGTGCGCTATTTAATTTCATCTTAATAAGAAAGAGTCCAAGAGTACTAGAAAACATTTTGTGATGAGGAACGAAAGCTTGAGTTCAGTACAGACCAATTCCACAAGTTGAAATAGAGCAGTCGGTTGCATAATAATAAATTTTCAGGTGAAAGTACAGTGGACCCTCGTTTTTCGTAATTATTCCGTTCCAGAGCATGTGACTATTATTGAAATTGACAATTTGTAAATCCATTTTCCCCATAAGAAATAATATAAATCCAATTAATTCGTTCCAGACACCCAGAAGTATCAACAAACTTTTTTTTTTACCTTATAGATTTACATGCACAAAAGAATGAACATTCAACATGACAGTTACCTTTATTGAAAACTGTTGTTGATGAATGGAAGACAGGGAGGAGGAGAGAGGGAAAGACAGGTTATTGTTTGGAAGGGGAATCCCCCTCCATAAGGACTCTAGGTCACTTCAGGGGTCACTGCCCTAGCTTAAATATTGATTTACATGCAGAAAAATTGCCAAATAAATGTAATGCACTAACAAAATATATAAATGAACATTTAACACCACACTTCCCTTTATTGAAGACACTTGTTGGTGTATGGCAGACAGGGCAGAGGGAGGGGAGACGAGTTTATTGTTGGAGAATATGACATTAATATCAACTCTACGGCTTATTTATCTATCACAATTCAGCTAATATGACAAACAATATTAATAGGTTGGTAGACAGCAACCACCCAGGGAGGTACTACCGTCCTGCCAAGTGAGTAAAACAAAAGCCTGTAATTGTTTTACATGATGGTAGGATTGCTGGTGTCCATTTTTCTGTCTCATGAACATGCAAGGTTTCAGGTACATCTTCCTACTTCTACTTACACTTAGGTCACACTACACATACATGTACAAGCATATACATACACACCCCTCTGGGTTTTCTTCTATTTTCTTACTAGTTCTTGTTCTTGTTTATTTCCTCTTATCTCCATGGGGAAGTGGAACAGAATTCTTCCTCCGTAAGCTATGCGTGTTGTAAGAGGCGACTAAAATGCCAGGAGCAAGGTGCTAGTAACCCCTTCTCCTGTATATAAATTACCAAATTTAAAAAGAGAAACTTTTGTTTTTCTTTTTGGGCCACCCTGCCTCGGTGGGATACAGCCGGTTTGTTGAAAGAAAGAATATTAATAACATAGAAACATGGAATATACTCTAGAATGAATAAAATAAGTCATTATGTATGTCACAATAGGTGTTCTTTTGGTGTTGTTGGGTGTACAAGGGTCACTGAGAGCATAAGCCGTCCATAATGGTAGTGAAGCAGCAGTTGAGGCGCCGGTATAACTCCAACAACACTGGAGGAGGAGTTAGTAGAATTGCTGAATCACTGAAGAAGGCACCCTCTACCACCATCACTACCACCCTCTACCACTATCACAACTGCTACCACTCTACCACCACCACTTCTGCATTTTTCTACAAACTTTTTCTTAACCCTTTCAGGGTTTTCGACGTACTAGTACGGCTTATGCACCAGGGTTATTGACGTACTAGTATGCCTAAATTCTAGCGAAAGCTGGTAGGCCTACATATGAAAGAATGGGTCTATGTGGTCAGTGTGCACAGTATAAAAAAAATCCTGCAGCACACAGTGTGTAATGAGAAAAAAAACTGACCCTGTTTTTGGATTAAAACAGTGACTTTGCACTGTATTTTCGTATGGTATTTATGATTGTATTCTAGTTTTCCTGGTCTCATTTTATAGAATGGAAGACATATTACAGAAATTGAGATGATTTTGACTGGTTTCACAATGAAAAGTACCTTGAAATTGAGCTCAAAGTAGCAGAAATGTTCGATTTTTACCAAAGTTCAAAAGTAAACAAATCATGCTAAGTGTCCAATACACGTCAACTGGCGAGTCCAATATTCTTTCACAAGTGCGCCGATATTATTTATACCTTTTTTTACACTAATGCAGTAGTCTGCATAACAGTAAATCTTCTAGTTTTTGTAAGAATAAAAATTCAAAGTGGAAAGCAAAAGAAATAAAAGAGGGGCCTGGGGACATGACTAACGAACAGAGAACTTGTTATTTTAGTGCCAGGAATGTCTTTCTTGTTTATTCTGGACCCTATTTGAAAATTGGCATCTTCTGAAATTTGTGTGCAATTGGCAAAATTGCCAATTTCTAACCACTT